CGGGACCGGGCGGGGCCGGGCGGGGCCGCGGGGTCAAGGGTCAGCACCTCCCTGGTTGCCGTGGCGCCCGGGGGCGCGAGGCGCCGGCGCTGTGGCTGGTAGCTTCCGGCAGAGTGTTCGGAGCTGCACATCCCGACCAAGTGCTCGGGCTTCGGGACGTGGGCGCGCCAGCGTGAAGCTGGGACCGCGCCTGACAGGAGGTCATCCACACTTGAGGACTACCCGAGCGAGGCAGAGACCCGATTTCGATCCTGCAGGGCGGGGGACTCTACCGTTGCTGTACCCGGATGCCCAGCGCTGGGCACAGAGTCGGCCTTCCATAAACGGCGGTGCAGTGCATCTGTCCTTTTCATTGACACGCTTCCTCCGACCCCTGTGCACTCTTCCCTTTTTGACGAGAGAGAAGCCTGTCCATTGAAGATACCTCTTTCACTCAGACCAAGGGAGAGAGGGAGGCAAATAAAAGTTTCCAAAGCCTAACACAGTAATCAATAAAGATCGCGGGAGTCTCTGGGGTTCCGGCCCATCTGTGCCACCATCAGTCTGTGTGACCTTGATTAAGTCATTTCATCCCCCTGAGCCTCAGTATTTTGCACAGGTGACGCTGAGGTCACTCCCAGTTCTAGGACCCATCACAACTCTTTGGGCTCCGCCACAAATCGTAAGGGTACTGGCGCACCCACGGACGCATCTGTTGGGAGGGGTATTCTGTACACTTCCTAGAATACTGTAGCACGTAATGTCCCTCTTTACCCCTTTCTCCCCAGTTGTAAGAGACTACCTCTATTGCCTTTATTTCTGTTCTTATATTCCCAAGGAAGTTCTAAGTTCTTGAGACTACTTTAAGTGTTATGCAACCCCCTCTATGGGTATCATGCAGTCGGCACTTCATTTATTGAATGACTTAATGCCTGTCCTCCCTTTACAAGACTAATTTTGAGAGTGAAATAACGTGACAGATGTGAATGCACTTTTTCAACTTGAACTAGTCGTGGATGTGTAAGGTATTGTGTTTATTATTTTCAGGCAATGTTTAAAAGTTCTCCATTTGAGGCAGAATTTTCCATCCCTGGGAGACAATGTCTGAAAAGGCCATGTGTGGAAAACAGAACAAAAATCATTATACTTTGAATACAGCATCTGGATCCCAGAGTGGGCAGTTGTCAACTTAAAAGAAAAATATGCTTAGGGATTTTTAAAGGGTACATTGGAACAGTCGATGGTGGAATTTCACCAGGATCTGCAGAGAAAAATAATTTTGACACCTGTAACTTACAAAAACAAAATAAGCATCATGAAATCAATTTTTAATTAAGTTGAGAATTTTTATAAATTACATTTTTAAAAGTCTTCAGTCTCTATTATCTCTATTAAAGTTTGTAATTAAATAAACAATAGGCAATTAATTATAATAGAGGATATGTGTTTCCAAAGAGCTTAAATTGTTTGGTAAGCTTTATTAATGATTATAACCTTGTTTACAAGTATCATTTCACTCATCTCTGAAATAAAGCCATCTTTAGGGTGGATGTTGACAGCAGTAGTTCATAGCAACGCAATAACATACTCCAACACAACTCAGAGAATATTCTAAAGGCAAGAGTTTAACAACTGGAATTACTAATATCTTTTCCTGTAGCACCTAAATTTCTTTGGCGTTTTCCCCAAACTGGCCAGAGCCAAAATTGTTTAGTTTTACAAACTGGCAAGATCAGAAAATGTTTTTAAGCCAGAATTAAAAAGTAGCATATTTTTGCCCCTGGGGAAGCAAATAAACAAACAATCCAACCAAATAAGCTACATAGAATCTAAGATTGCTTTATAAAAGGGAGAGGAATTTCTATACTGTTTCTCTCACTTTCTTTTTTTTATTATTTTAAGAGAATAACAACATGTCAATTGGGTCAAATATATGACTGGCTCATAGCAAAAAATAGTGGCAGTTACTTGAAATTCAGGATCAAAATGGTTCTGCCAAAATGTTTATTATCTTATAGTTTAGAGACATGTTTTTTACTAATTTTAAGATATACATGGACAATAACTTAAAAGGGAAGAAGGATCGCATGCATAAGGACAACATGCCAGAATTGAAAAGAGTCACTTTTTTTTTTTATTACTCTATGACTAATGACATGTCCGGAAATGTTTGGTACAATTCCAAAATCAAATGCTTGGAAAAAGAATGTATTTTATAGAAGGAAGATGCTGAGAATTTTCATTTTAAATTGTTACAATGCCTGATGCAATGAATAAGGATTTCACCAGAAAGTTAAAAATAGCCAATATTTATTTCTCAGGAGTGGAGGATTTCACAGAGAAAAATATTTGCTAAGTGCTGCACCTTTTAGTAAAGTCCCATAAGGGGAATTATTCCAAGCGTTGCAGAAGACTTTCCCTTTGGACATCAGCATTTCTGAAATCACATCTTGCAAATTTGTGGTAGGACAATTACAATCCTCTCAGTGTTTAAATGGCCCACCTGCTCAAGGGTGTTAGTGCTCTTCTATACATTATGTAATGGATATTAATTATTTTCCAGATGGACATTTAGAAGCAGAAGGTCAGTAAGAAGCTTTCCCACAGTGTCCTTACTTGCAACCTTTGGACTGCAGATACACATATACCTCAAAAAAATATATGTATATATATTATATACATACACACACACACACACACATAAAATCTAAAATTCACATTGTATATATAGCAAAGCCCCAGAGATACATTGAAGAGACATAGATTAATTTCCACACATCCAGTGAAAAAGTTAAAAATTATTTGCCAAATTAGTCAGAAATTAGAACAGCAGTGAACTAGCATTTGGGATTGTTTTGGTGATTGTTTTGTTTTGCTTTCATCACTGAGCTGATTAATTTGTCTTCTGGGATTAGGCAGTGTATGGACACAGTTTGTGATGCACGAGAAGCACCATGGTATGTAAAGAGCTCTACTCAGCAGTGTGGATTTTAATCCCAGATCTGTCCATTACTAGTGACATGTGTTTAGGGAAGTCATTTTTCTTCTTTGGACCAGCTGTAAAATAAGAGTCTACAATAGCAGTTACCAGGGCATCCTCTAACATTTGGTAAATTTAAATAGTATTGTCTGTGAAACAAAAAAGCAAATTACGTTATAATTATCTAATTGAATTTGGTCAAAATACTAAAACAGATCCCCTTTTTATGAAACTTATTAATGAAGAAGCCTCTAATTCGGGGGTGGGGGAAGATTTCTTCAAGATGTTCTAAAAACTCTCTCTCCCAAATGAAAATAATTAATGACCACAGAAAGGAAGTAAATATAACTTTCATTAATAGGCCCTGCATGAGGAAATGGACACCAACAGCTCAAGATTTGGAAGAAATTACTTACTAGTGTGAAAAGTTTTGCAAAGACTAAACTTTTCATTTATAGTAATAAGTATACACAGTAAACTTCTGTTTGTAGTATTTGTAGCTTTTTTGAACTTTGCAGGCATGATGAGGAGGGTAAAAATTGATGGCACAGAATACATATTTATACATCAAAATGTTCCGTGAGAATGTATTTTAGTTTCCTGTTTACAGTATCATGCTATTGTGCAAGTTTTGTCCACTCAACAAAATCAATGGATATTAACGCATAGAACATGATTTGATTTGCTTTACCTGTTACGTAGTATTGGGTGAGGGAAATAAGCCCCATTTGATCTTTTCTCCTTCCAAATGATGTTGAAGTTGTTTCTAGTGTTTAAACTATCATAACCAATGGTGGATAGGCATCCATGCATGTTTTCTATGCACAGGTTGTTTTGTTTTGTTTTTTGTAATCATACCTTTTTTTTTTTTTTTAGAGGTTTTTGCTATAGGGTGTGTGCGCTCGCCAGAAAGACAGAGAGAGATACAGAGACAGAAAGCGAGAAATCAGCCCCCAGGGGGGATAGCCACCCCGCACTCCCTTCTCCTCCATTCTCTTCTCGGGATCGTGGGCACACACACACACACACACCCTGCGTGAGTTTAAGCTGGCGGGTCCAGAACTCAAACCACGGTCAACTACATGGGAATCCAGTGACATAACCATTATGCTAACTGCTGGTCCCCATACCTCTTTTTGACAGTTGACTGTAAAATTATTAGAATGTCGTGAGTGATAGTCTAGAAAATCTATGGTCCTAAGAATCATAAGACCTGAGTTCTAAATCCTGGTTTTACAAACTAAGGAATTGTAGACCTAGCAAATTATAATTTCTGTGCCTCAGAGACCCCTTCCAAGAGCAGAAGTTTCAAAGTGCTTTTATTTTACTCATGTTTGCTGAAAAGCAGATTATTTTTGGAAAAATATTTTCTGAATACTTACATAGTTGTCTTCAAATTTTAATTGTCTCACTATCATAAATCTGAAATCATCCAGAATAATACTACTTGCATGAATCTAGGTGGAGGTTAACAAGGATTGGAGAATTTTGATTGTTACTGAAAGAGATGGTTATCATAGTTACATAAACTTATCATCCTATTTTGTAAACATCTATTAAATATT